AAGGGTTTTTGAAAGGTGGTAGACCTATATTATATGTCGATGGATGCCACTTGAGTGGTTCGTACAAAGGTATGTTATTGGGAGCACAAGCGTATGACACAGATAATGAATTATTCCCACTTGTATATGCAATTGTTGGAGGTGAGATGCTTGATGAGTGAGCATGGTTTCTTAGTAACATAAAAGATATTACGAGATCATTAGAAGTGACAATAGTATCAGATAGGCAAAACTTAATAAAAGGTGCAGTGCAAGCCGTGTTTAGAGGAGATCGACATGCTTTTTGCTACCGTCATGTGAAGGAAAATTACAGTGCTGAGTTCTTGAAGATAACCAGGGGAAAGAGGAGGACCAGCTGACAGACAAAGGAAGTTGCACTAAAATTACTTGATTCTATTGCATACGTAAGACTTAATAGAGACTTTGATCGTAGTATGGAAAAGCTAATGGGATTTTATCTAGAATTGGAGAAATGCAGCTAATTGCTCGTGTCAATTGTCTAATTTTTCTTGTAAAGCCATTATATATCAGATTCCAACAAACATGAAATTATGCAATAAAGGTGGTTAATTAACTAATTGTTCAGGTAAATTTCCTAACTTTCAGAGTCTAACATGCATCAAACAGTTACACAGAACCTAAGTGGAAATTCAGTTCATTGGTTGTGTCAATTGCCTAATTTTCCCTATGAGGCAATTGCACACCAGATTCCCACAAACATAGTGGGTAATTTACTGATTCTCCATGTAAATTGCCTAACTTGACAGATTCCAGGAAACATGAAACCGTTAAATAGAAGGTAAGTGGATAATCTCCTAATTCCTCATGTCAATTGCCTAATTTTTGTTGTGAGGTCACTACAGATCGGATTCCAACAAACATGAAATTTTGAATTGCAAGTTGTTACTTTATTGATTGTTCATGTAAATTTCTTAACTTCCACAGTCCAACACACATCAAGCAGTTACACAGAAGCTAAGTGGAAATTCAGCTAATTGCTCGTGTCAATTGTCTAATTTTCCCTGTGAGGCCACTGCACACTAGATTTCCAAAAACATAGTGGGTAATTTACTGATTCTCCATGTAAATTGCCTAACTTGACAGATTCTAGGCAACATGAAACCGTTAGACAGAAGCTAAGTAGATCATCCCCTAATTCCTCATGTCAATTGCCTAATTTTCCTTGTGAGGCCACTACAGATCGGATTCCAACAAACATAGCTAGTAATTTACTGATTCTTCATGTAAATTGCCTAACTTGACAGATATATGCAAACATGAGGTTGTCACATGCAACTGGTTAGTCAACTAATTCTTCACATCAATTGACTAGCTCTAATTGTTAGTCCACAAATCTCACATTCCAACAATCAACGGGATAAACCAAACAAAACAAACTCATTTGCCTAATCCATATGACAACATTTTCCCCTCCCAATTCTTTTCTTAATTCCTGCAAAATGCCTACAAACACTATAGCAATACAGTTAACTACCAACACTAATTTTTTGCTAAATAATAAATTTCTTACTTAGCCCCCACACAAACTCTTCATGCGACACTCACAAGCCTTCTCTCACTAAATCAAGAGCATTTGCTAAAGGGCTGCAGGGGTGACGGCTGAACACTGTGACACATTGATAACCATTCTTGGGTTAGAACCTAAATGTCATTACTAAACATACTCACCTTTCAGTGGGTCATTCCTCCTTAATCTACCATGAAAACAAAATCAAAGAAATCTACTGCATTTAATGTGGACTGCGAAGCTTACCAAAGGAAATCAATGACTTCTTCTCACCCTGCTTCCTCCTTCTTTGTCGATAACCTTGCAAGTTTCCTCCTTTGTCAGCCTCTTCTTATTCTCCTTCCGCTTGTAGTGACTACCACGAACTCGCAGAATGAAGTTGACGGAAAAATTTTCAGGGGGCACGTCAAACACTTTATGCAGATTGCGAGAGGCAAGAATCTTCCCACAGAGGTAGCACGTTTGCAGGCGGGAGAGGGTAGATTTTTCGCAGAGTGGTAGCATGTTTGCAGACTGGAAGACGCTATAGTTTTCCCAAAGTGGTTGCACGTTCACAGAGCAGGAGAGGGAAGAGTTTTCACACAGTGGGATCACGTTTGCATAGAGAGAGAGGGAGGACTTTTGATCATCGTTTTTTGGCCTTATTTTCAAATTTCAGAGGAATTAAAATGAGGGGCAATGGCGTCATTTCATTTGTGAAATTAATATCATATTGACCCCTTGGTCCTGTAGTGAGGTTTCAGAAAGTTTTGGGGGCTCTTTGACATTAATTGTGTTATGCGGTCCTTAAGTGAAATTTTCCCTATTAAAAATCATTTGAATTTTATGACAAATTTAATGTTTTTAGGTACTTTTATTAATATGTATGAATTAATTAGAAATGATTTATATTTGAGATTAGAGATAGTAATTTGTGCTTTTATTTTTTTATGGCCAACCATAAACAAGTATTAGCTACTAATCACAAAACAAACGTTTGAAAATCATGAAGTTTAATTTAAGACAAATTAGAGATTGAAAGAGCCAATTTATAATAGAATTTGATAAATCATGTTTTGTCCATATTGAAGGTTAAAACCACACTTTCCTTAATCACAAACAAGAGTAAGATATCATGGAGAAGAAGAGAAAGTTTGGTGAAAGAAGAAAGCTGTTTTTAGGCCGACATAGTTAAGCAACTCAAACACGTAGTAATTGAAATATAGGGAGAGTTTCATTTAAGTCCCATAATCAGAATTTAATCTCCAATTAGGCTCAAAACAATATGAAATTTTATTTCAAACTCTTTAGATGAAATTAACTTTGAGAGGAAAATGACCATGTTGCCTCTAAACATTTTAATGAACTCATGGGTAAGTTTACAAGTCAAAATATACATTCTAACAACAAAAAATAGTTAAACAACAATTGGATATATGAAAATTTACAACTTCCAACCTTTACAATAACAAGATATGAACATGAAAAATTCACAAAAAATTATAAGTAAGTTTACAAATTTAGAATATGCATTTTAACAACAAAAAAAGTTAAATAACAATATCTTAATTTTGTTTATGATAATTGTGAACATAAAAAGTTTGCAAGCGCTCATAGATAAATTTACAAGTCAAAATATGTATTTTAACCACAGAAAGTAGCAAAATAACGATTATAAATGTAAACATTTATAACTCTCAATTTTATAATAACAAGTTACAAACGTGAAAAAATCATATACTTGAGCAGTTGAGTGTGTGGTTATGGGTATGAAAGGAATGTGTTATTTTATAAGGGGTATATCATGAAAATTGATAGTTATATATTTTTATATGTGCATTTGTTATTTAGCTATTTTTTCTTGTTAAAATGCATTTTTCAACTTGCAAACTTAACTATGAGCACTTATGAATTTTTCATGCTCATAACTTCTTATTATAAAAATTAAAACTTATAAATTTTCATATGTATAGTTGTTATTTAGCTGTTTCTTTGTTGTTAAAATACTTATTTTAACTCGTAAAGTTTTCATGATCACATTTTGTGATAATGAAAATTGACAGTCATAAATCTTTATGTATAAATATATATTATTTATCTTTTTTTTTTTCTAAAATGTGTATTCCAACTTGCTTACCTACCCACGAGCATTTATGAATTTTTCATGTTCACATCTTACTATTATGAAAATTGGGAGTGGTAAATTTGTGTGTTTGTATATATAGTTGTTATTTAGCTATATTTTGTTGTTAAAATGCATATTTTGATTTGCAAAATACCTGTGAGGTTGTTAAAATTTTTAGGGGCAATGTGGTTTATTTATTTATTTTAAACTTAATTTCATTTTGGGCCCAAGAGACTGAAATGAAATTTGAAAATATCTTGGGGCTGATTGGAAATTTAGCTTAGATTGGGGAACTTATATGACATTCTCCCTTGAATATAACCCATATTTGGTGGTGAGTCAGTGAGTCTCCATATATAGGATAATATTGCAACATTTTGAAAAATTCGAGAGGCATATTAAATGTATTTCGTACTCGTTTCTTAATATAAAAACTAACTAATTAATTTGAGTATATTAAAAAAACTAATTAAATTAGTTATTTATAATAAATACATATTGTATTTCCTAAAATATCCTTTCTAATCAAATATATTGGTTAGAACTATCATTGTTACAAGGATTAACTTGAAAAAAATGAATAAATATGATAGACAAATTGGATTAAAATTTTACATTTAGAATCAAAATAAAAATCAAATGAGTTCTATATTAAAGATGGTACCTCCAGTCTTAGTTATGAAACCTTATTTGTAGTTATAAATGAAAAATATAAATTATAAATGAAATCTTATAATTAAAATTGGAATATAATGTTTGGTGGGGAATAATTTAATGACAAATTTGTTGTAGCCATAAATCGCATCACGTGGTTAACTAAGACACAAAGTGGCACAAATCTCGTACGTCCCCACTTCATTCATCCCGGTGAATTCTCAAGTCGCTATCTGCTTTTATTACCTTTTCTCAATGTTCTTTTACTCCTTGTTGGATCCAACCCAGTTGCCATTATCATTTAGTAAAGGAGAATGTCATCTGTTATGAAAGAAAGGAAAAGCTAGGGCCAATACGTTGGAGTTTTTTGGAAAATAATTGAGGAACTATGTGTGTCGCCGTCATCGTTGTCGTCGTCATGTGGGTAAGTCATGCAAAAATGGAGTTGTGAATTATGAAAGAGAACTTATGAAAAAAAAAAAATTGTTTTTGTGTTAATAATGTTTTCTTAAAATATTAATACCTTCTTGCCCAAATGGGGTAAAGTTGGTCAAATGAATTAGTTAAAATGGTATTTTAGTCCTTTACATATAGGTAGACTTGGTCAAATTTTAGTTTTCTTAAAGGACAAAAATGCCCTTTTGTCATTACGAAGCATCTGTACTGTTGATGGTTGTTAAGACTTAAAGAGGGAAACAGGGAGGGATGTATAAAATGACAGCAAGAGTGATAGGAGAGGAGAGAACAGCAGAAATGGAGAGAAGGGGAAGAGAATTTCTCATATGTGTGAGCTTATTGGGCCTAATGGTAACCCTAACAGAGTCTGCGACTGTAACCATACCGGTAGGAGTGATTCTGGATTTGAACTCATCACTTGGCAACACCACTCTCAACTGCACCAACCTCGGACTCCTCGACTTCTATTCCACACATGATTCCTTTGCGACGAGGCTTGAACTCCATTTCAGGCATTCTGGAAACGATCTCCTCACTGCAGCTTCTGCAGGTATATGGAACAATGATGACGTTTAGGTTTTATTTTTGGTTCAGTGTTTGTCAAATCTTTACAAGTTCCAGCTTTGTTCTTCTGCCTTGTTTCTCTTTCTTCATGACATGATGGAAATAGAATTCCTGACCCCCTCCGCCCTCAGCTTTACTTTAGCATTTCTTGTGAGTCCTTTTTTTAAAATAAAATAAAATAAAATAAAAGGTCATTCAATATCCAGAAACATTTTATAAAATTAGAGAAGTGAGTGTACACTTTTTTCATATATACAGTCTCCTAAAATTTTAGGTTGTATGTAAACATCCTTCATCATTTTTAAAATTTTACAAACTTGTGCATTAAAGAAAATAACCCGCTGCCGTTTCTTTAAAATAATATAATTTTATTATAAGGTTAAAAAAATTAAATTGATTTGATCAATAACTATATAATATAATTCGTTAAAATAACAAAATAATTTTTTGTTATTTATTATTTATATAAGCGTAAAATTTTAGAGGGATTCTTTATCAATTTTTACTCTTATTACTCAGCTCAACTGTACGTTATGAGTAGTCTTCTAGTCTCTTGGCATCTTTTCTTCACCCTGGTCTGGCTTTTGTATAAACTTTACAAAGTATTTGTAAATTATACTAAAATTAATAGTTCATTTTCTAAAAATTTAAGATTAAAATATTACTTCTGGTCCTTAATATAATAGCTAATTAACTAATTTAAGTAGATTAAGAAAATCAGTTAAATTATTTATTTGTAATAAGTAAGTCTTGTTTTTCTTAAAATATCCTTATTAATTAAGTATATTGGCTAAAATTACTATTATTACAAGGACTATATTGGAAAAAAATAGATAAATATGAGAAATAAAGTGGATTGGAATATTATATTTAGAATCAAAATAAAATAAAAGTACGAGGTTTTATATTAAGTAGCACCCTCCCTTGATTATACAAGTAAAAAATATACACAAATACAGATCATGTAGAAGAGCTATTTTGCAGCGGGGAACTCAAATTCAATTCCCTTCGAATGGTCCCTCGCACAAATTCCAGCTAACTCGATACCATCACTTTTTCCCTCCCTCTGTGTTTTGGGTGCGCTTGTGTCTCCATATCATTTTAATTCTTTTAACTTGGTAGTGTTGGCATTAAGCAGCTTGGAAGCTAATAAGTAAAACAAAGGTGCATGCAATCTTGGGACCTCAAAACTCAGAGCAAGCAGGGTATGTTGTAGAACTTGGTAACAAGACTAATGTACCAGTGATTTGGTTTTCTCCATCTGGTCCATCTCTGTTGCCACCTCGTACCCGGTTCTTCATCCACTCCAACTCCACTAGAAGCCATTGCTCTCAGTTCGAAGCTATAGCAGCCATTATCGAAGCTTATAATTGGCAGTCTGTGATCCCCATTTATGAAGATCCAGAATTCGGCAACGACCTCATTCCATGCCTCTCTTATGCCTTGCAAGATATGGACACTCGAATGCCTTACATAAGTGCCATTAATCAAACTTTCACGGATTCTCGAATCACCGATGAGCTTAACAAGATAAAAGCCCAGCGAACATATGTGTTTGTCGTTCATATGTCTCTGGAGCTTTGGTCAAGATTTGGGGAACATGCCAAACATGAGGACATGATGAGCGAAGGATACGCTTGGATACTTTCGCAAGGCCTGTCTTCTGTCATGGATCCCGAAGCTTTAGATGTCAGAATAAAAGGCTATATGGATGGTGCTTTGGGTGTGAGGCCATTCGTTTTATCCAAATTAACTAAGCGCCTTTCCTTAGCGGAAACATTAAGGTCTGAGTACGGTAAAACTCTTTCTCTAAATGGCTTGTGGGCTTATGACACTATCACAGCACTGGCCAGAGCCGTAGAGAAGGCCGGCTTAGTCAGTTTTAATGAAAGTGGAGCTGATCTTCGCAAAAAAACAGGCCGAAAACTTCGCAAAGCAATTCTGGAAACTGATTTCGTTGGCCTGTCAGGGAATTTTAATTTGACGCAAGAACAACTAGAACAATCACATGTTGTGGTATACAATGTGCAAGGCCAAAAAGAAAGGACAATTGGATATTGGAGCCCTGGAAAAGGACTTGTTCGAATGCAAAGCTCACATGGTGAACCAATATGGCCGGGTAACACAAAGGAGATACCACCCAAGTTGAAAGTTGGGGTCCCAAAGACGCATTTTACTGAATTTGTTGATGTTAATGGTAGTGTAGAAGGGCAGAATGTATCAGTTTCTGGCTTTGCTGTTGATGTATTTAAGAAAGTGGTTGGCATCTTGCCATTACATTTACCTTATGACTTTGTGCCTTTGAACAACAGTGATGGAGAGCTGACTCCCTCCAGCTATGATGATCTTCTCTGCGAATTCACAGACAAGGCAAGTTTTCATTCATTTCTGTTGCTTTCCATTGTTTTAACTTGATCGGCTTTTCTGTGTCTCAGTTTCTAATAAAGGAAAGTCAGGCATGTATTGTAGAGTTTCATTGATGATTTAATTCCCCCTGAAGCTTGGATACACTCAAGAACATCCCAAGCTATGCTCAGGGACGGAACTAGAAATATTGATAAGGAGGTCCAAAGGTACAAATAAAAATCATATGGGGGGGGGGCACGCAAAAGTTGGAATTTTTTCCTCTGAAATTAGTCTGATCTACATGTACTATAATTCATGTATATTACAAGTGATTGAGAGATATTAATTGTCTTGATCTTTCCACTTGATAACTGATGTCATCAGTGAGCATGCAGGCCACAAACACACAATATATATATAGGGATTCATTTCCAACACTTAATCCTTGTATGAAAATATTGCAGAAAGTTGATGTTGATGTTATAATTGGAGACATTACAATTGTCGCGAGTCGCACAAATTGTGTTGATTTCACAATGCCGTATTTAGATTCAAGTGTGTCCATGGTGGTAAAAGTGAGGTCTGACTCCAAAAGCATGTGGATCCTCTTCAAACCTTTTCATTGGTTACTTTGGTTCATTCTTGGTATGATTCTTGTGGCTGCAACTTTTATTGTGATTATATTGGAAAAACGAAAAGAAAAGAAAATGAAGGATGGTATCAGAGGAAGCAAATCCGAAAATAAAACAGAGGATGATGTTGGAGGAAGCAAATCCGAAGACTTTGTCCGCAATCCCTTCCTTATTTACATGAGCGGTGAGTTCTTTTGTTGTGTGCTATTGATTATATATATACTACTCTCTTCCTTTGTATTTATAGGCCACTTTGTAAAAGTTCTTTATGTTTCTATTTACAAACGATTTGGTAAAATCTATGAAGTAATTGTGGTTTTTCCTGATACTGCTATTAGTTGTATCAACTTGTTGCTCATATTGATCTATTTGACACTGTGTATTGTAAATGTTGTGTGTGTGGTGATTGCAGATGTTGGGTTTTTGAAAAGTTGCAAATCTAAATGGATGGTGATAATGGTCATGTTTATGTTGACCATAGTGCTGCAACTTTATACTGCAAATTTAACATCAATTTTAACAGATAGGACAAAGCCAAAGCCTCCTCCATGGAAGGACGTGCAAGAGATTAGAAGGAGCAATCGGAAAGTGGGATATCAAAGGGATTCCTGGATGAGAGGGTTTTTGATTGACCAATTAGGATTGAGGGATGATCAGTTAAGGGCTTTTACAAGTCGTAAAGAGTACAAGGATGCTTTAACAAATGAAGACAAAGAAAATGGAGGAGTGGATGCTATTTTTGATGAAACTCCTTATCTCAGGCTCTTCCTTTCCCAATGCCCTTCTTGCCAAATGGCAGGACCAATCTACAAAGCTGGTGGATTTGCCTTTGTGAGTACTCTCCTCCTCCTCAGAATATATATATTGCAGGGATAAGATATAAATTTGTTTAAAAAATATTCGTTCACAAGTATCTTAAAGTTAAATGTTGCCCTGGTCAAAAATGGTTGCCCTGAATGTTTCAATAAACTATAGCAACATTGCTTCATACTGTTAAAAAACTGACATTGATGACCGTTAATATTTTTAATGGTAAATAGTGATATTGCTCTATTTTAACACTTCCAAGCCAATCTTAAATCTAAAAAAACTTTTGGAACAATATTGTTCATGAGTAAAAACTTTCAGAATAAATTTACATCATAACCCTGCATTATATTCCATATGATCCATAAAACTTTGATGATGCTCATACCATGCTGTATTTTTCAGGCATTCCCAAAGAACTCTGCCTTGGTCTCGAATTTTTCAACTGCAATATTGGAAGTGACTCAAAATGTGACGATGTTTCGTGAGATGAGGGAGAACATATCTTTACCCATCACAGTTGACAGATCCGAATATAAAAGTAGTGTTGAGACGCGAAGTTTGACGATAGCCGACTTTGGAGGCCTTTTCCCAGTCGTATTGTTTGTCGTGGTTCTCTTCTCCTGCCTTTCAATTCTTAAACTTCCATCCATCGCTCCCCTGGTGCGTGACAAATTGGTTTCATGTTGGCGCACGTCTCCGGCGGAGAGGAGTAATATTAATTAGTACCTAACTAATTAAACATCTGTAAAATCAGCATGTGTGTGTAGCTTGGTGTTATTTTGTAATGAATAATTCTTTAAGTTGTCCCTTATCTTCAGTTTAGCTTATTATCTGGTCATCTTAATATCCATCATATATGTTAAGACAAATATTGTTTTATGTATTATTGCAATTAATATGTGGACCAAATGGTTGGTTGGTTAGAATCTTTACAATTCACATATTGGGCTCTTACCCAAAGTGTGTGTAATTTGTTGATGGACCCTCTGACATAATATACAATGTTAATCAACAAGATGGAATTTGATTGAAGGAGTTAATTTTTTGGCAAACTAAAGTTTGAATTTCCATAAAAGAGGTGCTTACACTAAATACTCAATAGTGCTTTAAATAAGATTATTTCTAATTAGAGGAGACATTGTTTAGCGCTAAAAGAAAAAGTCTAATGTTGTGGACCTTTTGGGCCTCATCAGTAATAATAATTCATGTATTATTCCGTTTATTAGTGTCTTTACAAGATACTCCTCCGATTCTTAATATAAGACTTATTTAACTAATTTGATTAGATTAAGGAAGTTAGATAAGTTAGTTAATTATAAGAAAAGTGACGCATTTTTCCTAAAACACTATAATAATCTTTTTTAATACCCCCTCTTCCTCTTCTACTTGATTATGGTTGAGGGAGTATTCATAGGGGTAATTTAGAGAAAACTGATAAATATGAGAAATGAGTCTTATATTTAGAACCAAAACCAACTCAAAAATTGGATCCTATATTAAGGACTGGAGGAGTATATGGTTAGTACATGTATCTATCAATTTACGTGTTGTTTGCTCTTACATGCTTAGAGATCTTGGGGAAGTTTCCTATAATATTACCTCACCACTAATATATATATATATATATATGTACTACTTCAGTTGTTAATACAAAAACTAGTTAACTAATTTGAATAGATTAAGAAAACTAATTAAGTTAGTTATTTATAATAAATAGATGTTATTTTTTTCTAAAATATCCTTACTAATCAAGTGTATTGGCTAGAATTACTGTTATTACAAGGACTATTTTAAGGGGGAAAAAAGTTAAATATGAAAGACAGAGCAAAATGGGATCTTATATTTAAAACTAAAATAAAAGTTAAACAAACTTTTATATTAAGGACAAAAGATAGTATTATAGTTTCTTAATTATAAAGTAGTGCTGAAGGAAGTTTCAAAGAGAGAGGTCTGTGATGTAGGGTGTGTTTGGATGAAACCAAACTGTGGTTTGAAAAAGTGATTCTGGAGAATAGATTTTGCGGAGAATAGATTCTGAGAAAAAGTGATTCTGAGAAGTGAGAGTGTTTGGATAGTTATTACCAGAAGCACTTTTTATATGTGAAAATTACCAAAAAAGGTATAAGTTAATATGATAATTATATAAGTGATAGATTTTATGATATATTTTGATTTGAAGAAATAAAATTGTTAATGAAAATTTTTTTACTAACATAATTAATAATATATAAGATAATATAATTAATACATAATGAATATGTATATATATATTTATAAAACATAATATTAAATATGTTTATAGAAAAATGAATTTTTTTTTTTGCTAACAGAAAAATCTTAATTTTCTTTACAGATTTTAAACATGAAATCCCATAATATTTTTTCACAACTACTTTTTGTAATAACATACTACATGTATAATAACATCTGATGTTTAATACAATTAATTAATTAATTGTCACCACATATATATATTCATAAAATATAAGAGTAAAAATGTTTTTAGAGAAGATGAATTATTTTGTTGCAAACAGAAAATCATGTATTTTTCATGAAAATTATAAACATAAAATGAGATGATATTGTTTGATAAAATAGAATAAACACGTCTTAAAACAATTTATTAATTATTAAAGTAAGTAATAATTAGCTTGAGAATATAAGGTATAATATTAATAAAAGAAATATAAATAAACAAATTTCATAATAATTAAGATGATGCATCGATACAAAGCATTTGTAATAGGTTTTGTTTTAACTACATATTACAATCTATGATAAAAGGAAATAAATAAGACATGATTACTATCCTTGTATTGAATTAACAAGTTTGTCTCTTATGCTGTCACGAACCTGAGCCATGTAAGATGAAGATTGTAAGACATTTTAACTCATCACAAAACCTCTACTATGGTAGAAAAGGAAAGCTGTTAATACGGGCTACCATAGTAGAAGGAAAAATTCATATTTTTAGAAGATTGACTTTCAAACTCGGGTCAACCCGATAGACGTTGCATGCAACTAAAATAATCCATTCATATCTACTGGGCCTCCGAGCCTCCGGCCTGGGTAACGACATACATCAAAATCAGCCCCTTTCCAATTGATCTCAAGCACGAATAACAAAGTTTCATAACATAATAGGAATGGCCTCCGGCCAACAAAGCGAGTAGGTAATATATTCTCCAGTTTACAATAAGGCCGGGAAATCAAAATATTTCAAGAAAACCCTAGCTGTGGCAATATACAACTATCCATACATAAATAAAGCTAGAGGCCTAAAGCTAACCAAGCTCAAGCCTCCACGTCTCTTCCCAAAGGCACACGCCTAAAACCTTCACCTGAAAATATTATAAACCACGGGGTGAGACAAAGTCCCAGTAACCAGCCTTTCCAATACTAGGTACTACTAAATAGGTGCTCGTGAGGTGTCAAGTGGGGCAGTTCACAAATAATACATGATGATAGCCACAACAATTTATGCAAATGCAATGATGCAATCCCATCAACCAAATCCCTCACTTTGGGGGATTTTCAGGAGCCGAACCCGGCCTATCCCTCACTATGGGGGACGTAAGGAGCCATAAAGGCCTATCCCTCACTCTGGAGGACGTAATGAGCCCGAAGGCCTATCCCTCACTATGGGGGACGTAAAGAGCCAACCATCATGCATTAATGGAGGCCTTACCACGTGGTAGTAACAGACAAAACTCTCACCAAATTCCCAATTAATGCATCATACTCAAATCATAATCAAGAGTAATAATCATTTCACCAATAACCTCATTCAGTGGCATATCTTTCACAATTCCACAAATTCATTCATCATAATTCCAAACCCCACAAGACGGTTTTTCATTTTTATATACAACATATAATTCGAACACAATTACTATTTGGCGCACAAAACACAAATCTACTCACGATACCACAGAAGCAAGTACTAAGGATTGGAAAGTGATTACCTCTCGCCTGAGCAAGGAATAACAAACCAACGATGTGGCCCCGTGCACCACCAAGACTCACAACCGGTCTACAAAGCACACAAACACACAACCAACATATATTAGCTCCCAAACTAATAATGTGGCCAAAACAACACTTGGGGACACAAAATTCCTATCTCCCATCAAAACTCTACCCAACTCAAAGGGTATAACTATCAAAACAACACTCCAAAGTCCTCAAAGTCTATTAAAACATCAAGCCTCCTTCCAAGCATCAATTATAGTTCAAACCTCAAGGGCCCACTATAGGAATTCAACCTCCAACAACCCATTTGAACAATTAAGGTTCCAACAACAAATCTAAACCGATTAAACATCCAATTTAACCCTCCTTAACATAACCCAATTCACAAAACTCAAAATCAATCTCTACATTATCATCCTAAATCCCAAATCATCCAATTCCATAAACCCTAACTCCAAAATTCAAGATTCTTTAAATCCAAGGAAACTACACCGATTAAATACTTAAACTAACCCAATGCAATCAATTAAACTCAAAACAATCGGTCAAAAACCTCAGTTAAATCACAACTTAGAAAATCTAGGGTTTCACCAAAAATCCTAAGAAATTTCCAGGAAATTCCAAGAAAGAAAGAAGATTAGAGGTTAAAATCACTTACTTGAGGTAATGGATCCTTAGAAATGCCTTTCTCAAGCCTCCTCCACGAAACCCTAGCAGAGCTTCTCTCTCCTCCTTCAGATTTTTCAATTTTCGCACATCTGAACCCTCCAGCGATTATATAGAATCGCGACCTTTCGCCGCGGCGAACTCCATATTCGCCGCGGCGAACTAATC